CCCCTCAGTAACCAATCAGATCACAGAGAGGCTTCCCCCTCGGTAACCAATCAGATCACAGAGAGGCTTCCCCCTCGGTAACCAATCAGCTCTCGCCTCCGGGGTGTGATGGCGAATAGAATATGTGATTTGGCGGGAAGCTCGGACAGGAAGTGTTTGTAGTCATCGTGTCGTCGTCTCTTCCAGGTGACAAGCTGCAGTTTGTATTTCGCTGTATTAACCCCAAAGACCCGGAGGAGCCGTTCTCCTGCCTCGTCTTCTTCAATGAGAAGGGAGAGTACCAGCGTAAGTCACATGATCTGTTACTGAACACCTTTCCCTGCAGGATGCTCGCACATGTGCACCCGCACTCTGGAAGAGTTGTAGCCTCGGTTCACACCTATCCATGACCTGCGTTCCTTTCAGTGATGCTGGCTCAGATCTTTGCGGTGCGTTGGTGCACATTGGTAACACAAGAAAAGTACATGTGCAGGTAATATCTCGCCAACATGCTTGGAGCTGCCATTGCCAAACCCCTGCGCTGCGCACTAGTTGGGAAAAATTGCTGCGAGCAATATTGGAAACTGCCGGCGTCCAGGAACGAGAGTATTTGTTTCTCGTCCATTGAGGGACACAGGACATCAGATACAGTCGGGTTATACTGCCCCCTGCAGGAGGATTGGAGAAACAAGGCCATAGGCCGGCCTCCAGTGTAACCCTCGGCTCCGTGTCCTGGGAGGAGGAACGTCTTCTCTTCAACTGATTTTTCTTGCAGCTTTCTTCCTTCCAAGACTTCAATATGGATTCCGATCTATATCGCTGCTTGAGCTGGTCTACCAGGACCGGCGTCTTCTCAGTGTAGCTTTGGAGGTCATACCCAGACCCCTATTCGCAGGGCCAGCCTAGTATGTGACCTTCGGGCCCCGGGCTCTGCATTGTGGGGGAATCTATCCTTTGGGCCCAGGGCTCTGTATTGTGGGGGGGGGGGAATATGACCTTCAGGCCCTGGGCTTTGCATTGTGAGGGGAATGTGACCTTCGGGCCCCGGGCTCTGCATTGTGGGGGAATCTATCCTTTGGGCCCAGGGCTCTGTATTGTGGGGGGGGGGGAATATGACCTTCAGGCCCTGGGCTTTGCATTGTGAGGGGAATGTGACCTTCGGGCCCCGGGCTCTGCATTGTGGGGGAATCTATCCTTTGGGCCCAGGGCTCTGTATTGTGGGGGGGGGGGAATATGACCTTCAGGCCCTGGGCTTTGCATTGTGAGGGGAATGTGACCTTCGGGCCCCGGGCTCTGCATTGTGGGGGAATCTATCCTTTGGGCCCAGGGCTCTGTATTGTGGGGGGGGGGGAATATGACCTTCAGGCCCTGGGCTTTGCATTGTGAGGGGAATGTGACCTTCGGGCCCCGGGCTCTGCATTGTGGGGGAATCTATCCTTTGGGCCCAGGGCTCTGTATTGTGGGGGGGGGGGAATATGACCTTCAGGCCCTGGGCTTTGCATTGTGAGGGGAATGTGACCTTCGGGCCCCGGGCTCTGCATTGTGGGGGAATCTATCCTTTGGGCCCAGGGCTCTGTATTGTGGGGGGGGGGGAATATGACCTTCAGGCCCTGGGCTTTGCATTGTGAGGGGAATGTGACCTTCGGGCCCCGGGCTCTGCATTGTGGGGGAATCTATCCTTTGGGCCCAGGGCTCTGTATTGTGGGGGGGGGGGAATATGACCTTCAGGCCCTGGGCTTTGCATTGTGAGGGGAATGTGACCTTCGGGCCCCGGGCTCTGCATTGTGGGGGAATCTATCCTTTGGGCCCAGGGCTCTGTATTGTGGGGGGGGGGGAATATGACCTTCAGGCCCTGGGCTTTGCATTGTGAGGGGAATGTGACCTTCGGGCCCCGGGCTCTGCATTGTGGGGGAATCTATCCTTTGGGCCCAGGGCTCTGTATTGTGGGGGGGGGGGAATATGACCTTCAGGCCCTGGGCTTTGCATTGTGAGGGGAATGTGACCTTCGGGCCCCGGGCTCTGCATTGTGGGGGAATCTATCCTTTGGGCCCTGGACTCTGCATTGTGGGGGGTGGGTGTGAGACCTTCGGGCCCTGGGCTCTGCATTGTGGGGGGGAATATGACCTTCGGCTCCAGAGCCGTGGCACAGCCACAGACGTGACCCGGTCTTTGAAGGCTAACTTCATGAGAAGGTCATGTGAGCCGATTTTATCGTCAGCTATTGTTACTGGGCGCCCCGCTTTCTGTTGGTTTACTGCCGAGGGACGAGCGGCTGATTCCATCCCCTGGGTGGTGTATCCTGCGCTCTTTCCCAACCAGTGTAGAGGAAGGGGCACCGCTGCTCCTATGACACGTGGCTCTATCCATTGTCCGGCTAGTGACCGGGTCACCTGTGACCTCCGGAACCTCTCCTGCTATCAGCAGCTGGTTTGTGAGTATTGGAGGTGTGGCCCTGAACTCTCTATGATTCCTGATTGCCCCTGAAGGGGAGCCAGCTTCTTGTCCCACCATTTCTTGGCTTAGACACATCTGATCTTCAGGGGTCCCACCTTTTCCTGTTGTACTCTACTAGATCTGTGGCTGCTTCTGGGGCTCTTTGGCACTGGGGCCCGTGTTTTCCACATTTGCAAGGCTGCCACTTGGGACCTGAAGGACATTCAGGTGACTCTGAGCTGCAGGTAGTCCCACATTTCTGTTCTTTGTGGGCCTCTTAGTGTTTTGCTGCTGTTGCCCACCCATCGGTTGGACCCCCCACCCCATGTATATGATCATGCTCTTAGTATGGCTTTTCTTTAACACTGAGGTATGCTGGGAGAAGGGGTTGTACTGGTCTTTGCTTGTCAGTGTCCACATCCTCCTGTAGGCAGCAGTATAGCCCAACAGTCTCTGAATTCATGTAACCCTCAGTGAGATCCAAAAATGGATGTTGAGGTAAATACAAAGGTCCCCATTGTTCATTGTCTGTCATGGGTGAAAGTAAACGTCTCATTCACAGCGACCCGTCCGATGTTCCTCCATTCACTGGAAGCGCACAGTTGGGATGCGGTTGCCACAGGCGGCCGTTCTTGTTTTAGGCACCTTGATAAATATACGGCATGCTGACCATGTGACTCCACTCTCTCTCATCTCTTGGCAGTTGAAGGATGTGATCCGCCATTGGAGTGTATCGCAGAGTACGAGAGGAAGATTCGAGAGACCAAAAACTTCTCCGCGCTGCTCGCCAACCTGCGCAAATCATTCATTGCACTATGTGCGCAAGGAAAATAACCCGAACACATTGTATATATGTCTAGAGTTCTGTGTCTTCACCCGTCACTATGTCTGTTATGTCAAGTTTGTAATTATAATAAAGTTTTTCTATGTTCGTATCTCTGCGGTCATGTGGCCTCTTTATTAATTATCTTTAGAAAGCTGATAATTAACCTTCATCTCCAAACTAATTAACCTGTTGTGGCCACTGGACGCGCTATTCACGCCAAGAAAACTTCATAGACTTACATAGGATGTGCGTAGCGCACCCCGTCTTTCTGCCCCCCTTTGAACTTGCCGGCAATTCCACAGTTGATGCGAAAATACAGAAGCCGCGATTATAAACATTGATCAGAGGGAGATAGAGAGATACAAAGTAACATTGTATATAAACATTGATCAGAGGGAGATAGAGAGATACAAAGTAACATTGTATATAAACATTGATCAGAGGGAGATAGAGATACAAAGTAACATTGTCTATAAACATTGATCAGAGGGAGATAGAGATACAAAGTAACATTGATCAGAGGGAGATAGAGAGATACAAAGTAACATTGTTTATATGGGAGATAGAGTGTAGAGCAGGAAGCCCCAAATATTGAGGTCAGCAGAGGTGGCCGAAGAGACTGTGAATCACCCCAATGGGGACACAGACAGCAATCTGGGGGGTCACTTTACACAGCAGGGATACAAATATCGGGAGGTCACATGGTACACAGCGGACATACAAATATCGGGGGGGTTGTTATAGCAGCTTCTTGACCAGCTGGGGCATCTCTGTCACGGCTCTTCATCATCTTGGTGCTCGTATCTGTCTGCCATCTCCTCATCCACATTTCCCTTCTGCTGCACAAACTCTTCAGTCAGTCCGGCCTGTCGCAGAGTGTGAGTGAATCTACGTTCTGCTTCCTTCACTGCAGATCCCTATGGACAGAAAGATTGTCCGTTCATACTGCGGGGGAGGGAGGTTTATTCCTATGAAGGTCAATGTCCCCCCAATAACCCCCCCCCCCTGACTGTCTTATTTGTTCCAATTTACCTTCCAGACTTGTTCAAAAAGGAACGCTCTCCTCCTCACCCGACTCTTCATCTGCTCCAATTCCATCTGATATTCCTGACTTCTCTTCAAATCAGACACCCTACAGGAACAGTGACATCATCACACCGGGCTCATCCTCACACCGGGCTCATCCTCACACCGGGCTCATCCTCACACGGGGCTCATCATCACGCCGGGCTCATCCTCACACCGGGCTCATCATCACGCCGGGCTCATCCTCACAAGGTGGAGTTGGCGGTGTTTGGTGGGGACTCATCATGACAAGGTGGAGTTGGGTGTGGACTCGCCTTGTCTCTGTAAGGGCCCATTCACAAGAAGTACTGTGCTGGGACAGCTCCGGTAGTGTACATTGTATCACACACTGCTGGAGCTGTCACTATTTAAATTTTTTAAAACTTTATGTGTAGTGGACAATGTGTACACACCATTCGGGTCTCCATGTATCAGCATGGTTGGATGCGGTTGGATACACTGAGCTGCGATAAAATGCAGGTTTTGTGTTTTACCTCAGCGCAGCGGCCACTGTACTGTACTAATCCGGTGCAGCACAGCTCAGGTCACTGCTAGATGTGTGAACGGGCCCTTCGCCCTCGTTCACACCTGAACGTTTTGTAGCGCGTTCTACGCTCGACGAACGCTCTACAAAACGCTCAAAAATATAAATCCCATTGTATTCAATGGTCTCGTTCCCACCTTGGCGTATTTCAGCCCGTCCCTAACGCCCTACAAAACGGCCCACGCCTGAAAAGGTCCAGGTACTACTTTGGGCCGTTTTGTTGCGCGTTTCCATTGGGATACAGCCAAGTAGCCTTCGGAAACGCGCAACGGTCGCGCAACTTTTTTACCGCGAATCGTGGTAAAAAAAACACGCGACAGACGCGCATATGCAATACGCCTAGGTGTGAACGAGACCTTACTCATTCTGCTGGGTAATTTAACATCAATCAGCCCATCCCCCATAGACATCAGACGAGCTGAACATTGTATTGCATGGAACTTACTGGTTCTCTCTCAGTTTGTGTCTGTTGGTATCTGCCAGCGGTTTGTGCGGATCTAAAGCTTTGGCGCGGCGGGAGACGGAGCGCTGCATAGCCAGCGATCTCTGTCGGTGTTTCTGGAGCCACTTTTCCCGTTCAGCACTCTTGCACTCCTGGTCTTGTAGTGAAAATCTGCAATACATCAGCCGGTGTCGGTGTGCGTCCATTTTATCATGATGTGGGGTACATAGAGACGCCCCCCTGAGCCCGGCATACCTGATGGAGGCCTCCCTCCTCTTGGTGCTGTCTGTTATGTACACGGGAAGGGTGTTGGGTGACAAGCTGGACAGGTGACGGGAGGGTGGGACACGGGGTTGCTCTTCATCCTGCAGATACAGAGAGAAGAAAGCATGTTGTATTGTATGGAGCTGGGGAAGGAAATTCAAATTTAAGGAGCCGGTGAATAAAATTTTCAAGCCGAGGTCCAAATCGAGGTCCGGACAGAACGGTCACTTTAAGCTCCTGTCCATTCCGTCGTCCGCCATTTGGGCTGCACTCACACCAGCAGCTACACTGCAACGCACAGCAGCTGGTGTGTATTCCAAGGCAGAGTGCTGATGTATATTGTTAAAAGTCCCCCCTTCCTCCCGTTTACATACATGTGCATGTCCTACGCACACATGTTCATTAGAATCAGGTGGCTGGGGCGGCAGGGTTGGTTTCATTTTAGCTTTTATATTTCACCTACACTAACAAGCCCCTATGTGTCAGCATTTGGAAGTGACAGGTTCTCTTTATGGAGACATCGGGGGTCTATTAGACCTCTGATGTCTCCCTTGCCCTCCAACGCAGGAATGTGCTTCATCTTCTGTTTACCTGGGACACCAGCCAGCTTCTGACAGCTGAAGCAGGAAGCGCTGAGAGCCTAGCGCTCCCTGCTTCATTAGGCATAGAGCAAATTGGGGTACAGACGTTACCTGGTCTGCTACCACTCTCCATCCTGACACTGTTTGCCATGGTCCCCGCCCCCCCAGAGGACCCGAAATCCACAGCGGGTGGGGCACAAACGCAGGCTACTACACGTGATCTGGGTGGATGTACAGCCACCCAGATCACTTGTAGTTGTAGCAGCTGGCTCTGCCTAATGTCATTGGTCGCTAGGATGCCAGTAGACCTAGCAACCAAATGACTGAAGCAGAGGGGGGAGGGCCGCACTGTGTTATGGCTGGCAATGGAAACATGAGCCTCGGAGGCCGATGTATTCACTGTCAGCCATAACTCAGCGCTGGTCGGCGATCGCGGTGCAGATCCAACCGCCACTCAGTCCGTGTTCGGACCGCGGTCTGCCATTTAGTGACCCGTGATATACAGAATACATTGTACAAGAGTGATACGGGGAGCTCCGCCCCACCTGTACAAATCATTCTATGAACAGAACCTAGCAGATAAGGGTATCAAACTTACCAAGTAGTGGGTACTGGCGTGGTATCAGCGGCGAGGTTAGGGTTAGCCAAAGAGTGAGGGGCCAAAGAGTTTGGTGAGAGGAGCAAAGAGTTTGGTCCCCTCACTCTTTGGCTTGAGAAAGAAGAACAGCTCTTCGAAACGCGTAGCCAGCCTTTGACACGGTCACCCCTTACCCCTTCGCCACTTGCTCCCCCCCGCGCTACCCCATCAAAATGATACTCACCCCTCCATTTACTTACACACCATGATGCCTGTGTGCTATATGTCCGCAGTCACCAAACTATAGAGGGAGCTGCCCTGGTCACCTATACCAAGTCACAAGGCTGTATGGGGACTGACAGGGGTCACCTTAGATCCAGAGCAGGCTGTACTGGGACTGGCAGGGGTCACCTTAGATCCGGAGCAGGCTGTACTGGGACTGGCAGGGGTCACCTTAGATCCAGAGCCGGCAGTACTGGGACTGGCAGGGGTCACCTTAGATCCAGACACCAGGCTGTACAGGGACTGACAGGGGTCACCTTAGATCCAGAGCCGGCAGTACAGGGACTGACAGCGGTCACCTTAGATCCAGACACCAGGCTGTACAGGGACCGACAGCGGTCACCTTAGATCCAGAGCCGGCAGTACAGGGACTGACAGCGGTCACCTTAGATCCAGAGCCGGCAGTACAGGGACTGACAGCGGTCACCTTAGATCCAGAGCCAGCAGTACAGGGACTGACAGGACTGATATCAGGAACTTGCAGTCTCACCTGTTCTCTCTCGGTACGGCTCGGTTTCTTTCGGTGCCTCTGGTTGGATGTGAGGAAATTGAAGGGTTTGGTCTCGGTAGGTTCTCGCACGGTTTGCCTGGAGAGAGAAAGTCTCTGGAAGTTCTTGTAAAGCTCCTGGAAGTCGGGGACGGCCGGGTTTGTGCGAGGCTGGAAAGTGAGGTTCTGTTGCAGGAAAGCAAGGTGCTGCTCTTTGCATTTCAGGGAGGTTCTGGAATTGGGGTCTCTGGAGTGACGGGTCAGAGTTACGGGAGCAGAGGAACTTTGCAGCAATTCCTTTGCTCTTAACTGACTATTGATCTTCCGGAGGAGTTCTGCTTCTGCAAACCAAACCAGAAAGATTTACAATCAGACGTCTGCAATGTCATTCTTCTCTCTATAACACCACATATCCCTTTTATTAGCCTCTCTTCATAGAGCCCAATGCCCCAGGGGTATAATCTCTGGACCTAATACCCTAGCCTGTATAGAGCCCAATACCCCAGGGGTATAATACCCTGCCCCCACTGCTCTCTGGATCTAACACACTAGTCTCTATAGAACCCAATACCCCAGGGGTATAATCTCTGGATCTAATACCCTAGACTCTATAGAGCCAAATACCCCAGGAGTATAATCTCTGGATCTAATACCCTAGCCTGTATAGAGTCCAATACCCCAGGGGTATAATACCCTGCCCCCACTGCTCTCTGGATCTAACACACTAGTCTCCATAGAGTCCAATACCCCAGGGGTATAATCCCTGGACCTAATACCCTAGCCTCTATAGAGCCGAATACCCCAGGGGTATAATACCCTGCCCCCACTGCTCTCTGGATCTAAGACACTAGACTCTACAGAGCCCAATACCCCAGGGGTATAATACCTGGATCTAATACACTAGCCTGTATAGAGTCCAATACCCCAGGGGTATAATACCTGGATCTAATACCCTAGCCTCTATAGAGCCGAATACCCCAGGGGTATAATACCCTGCCCCCACTGCTCTCTGGAGCTAATATACTAGCCTCTATAGAGCCCAATACCCCAGGGGTATAATTCCCTGCCCCCACTGCTCTCTGGATACTCCACGTTACCACATAACATTGTGGAGTCAGCAGCACAGCAGAGAGGAACCCAGACTGGATGGTGCAGGGGGAACATTACCTTTTAGTCGATCGCTGACTGATGGGTCCAGTACAGATTTGGGAATGGCTTTGATGACACTCGGGGATTTTTGGGCCGGGGCCGTCACTGGTCGCTCATGTGACTTCTTCCTCTCTTCTGATAAGAAGTGAAATGGTTTTTGCATGGCCATCAGCTGCTCTTTTCTCCTCTGTATGTCGGACTTCCTGCGCTCATCTTGTTGCTCCATGATGTCATTGTAGAGGGGAAGGAGGACCTGAGCTGGGACAGGCTGGGCCCGGAACTGCTTATAGCATTCGATGTCTTCCTGCTTCATGTCCGGGTCGGGATCGGCCCAGGCTTGAGGACTCTCCCTCTCCCGCACACTCATCTGAAATGGTTCTGGTACTGTGAAGGTGACAGCATTGCAGCTTTTCCTGGCCCTGGCCCTTGTGTGTGCCTCCGGACTGGAAGAGGAATCAGCAGCTTTACAAACACAAGTCCTGGCCCACGTCACACAGATAATATGCTCCCACTTACCTCTGGAGGGCGACATTCGGGTCCCTGAGCGGGGTGGAAAAGAAGAACCTGTCCAGAGCTCCATCACCCAGACCAGCCTCATATAGACCAGCCAGTTCCTGCAGGTAGAGGCCGTTCCTGCTCTTCAAAGAATGAAGAGTATCAAGGAACTGAAGGTCACCGTCCTGCCCATCCGGACGTCCACCCCTTCCGGGATCATCACCAGCCATCTCCTACAAAACGGGGGTTTACATTAGAT